ACGAGATAGACCCATAGTTCCTTTTGATGATCTGCATAGAATCACATTCTGAGTCGATTTATGCCTGTCCGTCCGTCCATGTATTTTTGTAAACAAAGTACAGTTCGCATTTATTGCCCGATCCAGATGAAATTTTGCATAAATCATTTGTTTGGCCCAAGGACGAACCCTATTGAAATTGGAGATAATCGGTCATAATTTAGTTATAGCTCCCATATATATCTTCGTCCGATTTGCCTTTTATTGTGCACCAAACGTGTAATATCAGCCCGAATAGTATGAAATTTTGCATATACAACCAAATTAGGCCTGAAAATAAGTATGCCAAATTCGAAATTGGTTCAGATATAGCTATAGCTCCCATATATATTGTTCATCCGATTTGTTATTTTTGTCCTCTGCAGCCGTAATATGCACTCTGTAACAACAATATTTGGGGAAATATATCAAATACAGCTCAGAAATACCTTTGCTAAATTTTATCGAGATCGGTTCAGATTTGGATATTGCCTCCATATATAACTTCGTCCGATTTAGTTTTGATTGTGCACCAAACGTCTAATATTTGTCCAAATGAGATGAAATTTGACACTTACGACCGAATTGAGTCTAAAAGATAGTACGTCAAATTTGGTGAAGATCGGTTCAGATATAGCTATAGCTCCCATATATATTGTTCATCCGATTTGTTACCCACAGCCGTAACATGCACTCCGTAACAACGATATTCAGGGAAATATATCGAACACAGCTCAGAAATATCTTTGCCAAATTTTATCGAAATCGGTTCGGATTTAGATATAGCTCCCATATATATTTTTATCCGATTTCAAATCAATTGTGCACCAAATGGGCAATACAAGTCCGAATTTAAAAATACAAATGCTTCGGCATAGACCTTTGAACTTTATAATTATAATCCCATAAAAACTTTTAATTGTTAGTTGGCCCCGCCCGACTAAGACTTTCTTTACTGGTTTATTTACAGATTAGTTTATAATTTTATGACTCATTTTTAATATGAGGGTCCTGTGTATTATACTTATATTAAACATCTTCTGTTCGAAAGATTTTTATCCACGAAGAAACAAAACACTAATATTCTATAACAGTTATTTAATGTGTTTATGTGAGAAACGCTCTAGCAGCATCACTGAACATACGCCACATAAACACTGTTCCATGTTATTATTCCCCCTTTGTTATTCTCTTTACTTTTGGTTAGCAATACCGTAGTGACTACGGCGTAGTCACTAGCATAAATATGAATAGAAATGGGCACAACATCATGCATCAAACAAATTATGGAGCACGTTTCACTCGAATTCTTGACTATTTCAATTAATGACAAAACACATTTCATTCATGAATTTTGTTCAATTGGTGAATTATTTATCTCAAACTTATCGATTCCAAAGCTGTCGACTCAAACTGAGCCTTTGCCACCAACCAACAAAAAATAAAAGATGACGAGAATCGTGTGTGGGATGTTTATTGTCTCCATATAATTTTATTTGTCAACGTGTCTTCCATACAAAAAAGTCCATTTATGTTTCCAATGCAAATTGTTTTTTGTGGTGTTCGGTATTCTTAATTGCTGGAAGATGAACATAACCATTGGATAACACCATCATCAAATAATTCTGATTTGAATTTGATTTAAGGAGAACATTTAAAATCGTTTCATTGGATCTTTAATGACATGTCTGCATGTCTTTGCAGACATTTTGGGGTGGAACGTGCAGGTGAACACGTAGATATTTAGACGTTGACGTACATTCTTGTAGGATACGTATTTTGAATTTCATACACTGAGCTACAAAAAATATATATAAAAACAAGTTAAAAAGTTTCGGTCGGTTTTGCCGACAGATGCCTACCCTCAGCCAATGTTCAATTATTTAAAAATTCTTTGGCTTCTGTTATGATTTTTCAAACTGTTGACCCTCTATGAAGTAGGTTCTGAAGGAATGGACCAATATTGTCAGACCTAAATAAATATGACATAAATATTGTGACGTGTCAGGCTTGGACTATATCGACTGATTCCTGAACTTTATATGAGATATGTGATAATTTTTTGAAAATGTTAAAATGTGCATGAGTTACCATATATAGTAGACCGAAGTATTCCATTTTCATACTTCACCTAATACAGACAAAAATATTGGTATGGGCAAAATTACAAGAAAATCGAACAATTTTATGCGAAATCATAAATTCCATATTCATTTCAGGTTTCTTGCTGAGAGAAATATTTAGATATAGCAAGTTGCACAGAATCGCTGACTTCTTTCGCAAGTTTAACACATAAAAGTATTGAAAATTGTGATCGTTTGTGGGGGCGGTTCCAGAAGGGATTCACAGATTTATATCATCTTCACAGCAGATTTGGGTGACATTTGAAGAGAACGTCTAATTCTCCTTTTCTTTTGCATTATTTTTTTCTTTTTTTTGTGGAGCAGGTTCCAGAAGAGCTTTTTATGAGCTTTATGGGTATTCACAATTTTGACCCTTTGTGGGGGAGGCACCAGAAGGAATGGACCGATATATCTCATCTTCACAGCAGATCTTGTGTTAATAGAAATAATGGGAGTTGTTCAATATAAAGAGAATCGGATGCTTATTTCGGATTTTATAATCGTTTTTGTTATTCAAAACATTGACCCATTGTGGGGAAGGTACCAGAAGGAATGATCCGATCCCTATCTTCTTTATAACAGGTCTTCTTGTGATAGAAATATTGATATGTGCCAAATCTCACTGGAATCGGATATTAATTTCGCGTTTTATGAGCTTCATGGATATTCAAAATTTTGACCCTTTTGTGGGGGAGGTACCAGAAGGATTGGACCGATATATCTCATCTTCACAGCAGATCTTGTGTTAATAGAAATAATGGGATGTGTGTAACTTGAAGATAACCGAATGCTTATTTCTAACTTTATGATCGTTTAGGTTTTTCAAAATGTCGACCCTTTGTGGGGGGAGGTACCAGAAGGAATGATCTGATCCCAACCATCTTTATAACAGATTTGGTGTTGATAGAAATATTGAGATACGCCAAGTTTAAATGGAATAGAATGTTAATTTTGCGTTTTATGAGTTTCATGGATATTCAAAATTTTGACCCTTTGTGGTGGAGGTACCAGAAGGAGTGGACCGATTTATTCCATCTTCACAGTATATCTTATGTTAATAGAAATAATGGGATGTGTGAAATTTGAAGATATCCGGACGCTTATTTTATGATCGTTTTGGTTATTCAAAATTTTGGCCCTTTGTGGGGGAGGTACCAGAAGGAGTGGATCGATATATTCCATCTTCACACCAGACCTTGGGTTAATAAAAATATTGTGATGTGTGTAATTCGAAGACAATTGGAATTTTACATCACATTTTATAAGAGTTATAATTATTCCAAATTTTGATCATTTGTGGGGGAGGTACTTGATGGAGTAGACCAGTAGTGTGCATTTTCGTTCCGGACCTAGCACTAATGTAAATATTAGAATTAGCAAAGTTGGAGCCAAATGGAATAATCTTTTCTCTTCCATTTCAACCTATTGTGGGGAATGTGCAGGAAGAAGTGGACCGATATTTCCCATCTCCGAACTCGATCTAAGATTGATAAAAATATTACGATGTACCAAGTTTGGACCAAAACGGATGCTCCGTTCGAAAGTTATCGTGCGCACCAGCCAGCAGAGAGATCAGCTTTTGGTATAGCCCTTATAAAAAGATATCGCCATATTTTATTTTTTTGTGGAGTTCATGCCATATTTTCCATATTTGCGTAGAACACTTTTTTATTTTCAGATTAGTTTTTAATTCTATGACTCACTTTTAATATAAGGGCCCTTTATATTATATTCATATTAAACATCTTCTGTTCGAAAGATTTCTATCCACGAAGAAACAAAAATACTAATATTCTAAGACACTTATTTAATGTGTTTATGTTAGAAACGCTACAGCAGCATCACTGAACATACGCCACATAAACACTGTTCCTTGTTATTATTTCCCCTTTGTTACTCTCTTTAGTTTTGGTTAACAATACCGTAGTGACTACGGCGTAGTCATTGGCATAAATATGAATAGAGCAAGAATAACAACAATCCCATAATAGAGAGAAAGAGAGTCGTGAACTTGAAAAGAAATAAAAATTGCAATTAAAAACCATTCTTGTAAATAAAAGAAGTATCAGTGCAAGAAAAAAATCTACTGTTTGCATAGGATAACTTAATTGTAAATTTATTCTTTCCATTTTCGCACCCAAGGAGTAATATTTATTGGAACATTTATAAATACATTTCAAAGTCTTTCTTTTCGAATAACATATTTGGGCATGGTAAAATAAAGATAATTGTATTATTACTCGTGTAGAAGGTGCGAATAATTATTGGATCTAAGTTTGATAAAAAATATTACGATGTACCAAGTTTGGACCAAAACGGATACTCCCTTCGAAAGTTATCGTGCCCACCAGCCAGACAGATAGACGCACGGACGGAAATCGCAAGATCGACTCTAAATTTCCTAAAACGGATTTGGTCCAAAGGTCTAAAACCGTTATTTCGATGACGCCCTTTTTGGCCGTATCAAATAAAATGTACCCTCTTATATGGCAAATATGGCTGAGGGTATAATAAAGGTAATATGGACTAAGCCAGAGGACTAATATTGACTAAGCCAAAGAACTTCGATATAATATAGTGAAGCAATTGCAGGTTCGTGGTCTAGGAGGTCAGAAATGTCAAGGTGAAGTCAGTATAGCAAGGTATTAAAAGGATTTTCAATTTACGCGCCACGTGTTTGGAAAAATTACAACCGATTTTGATATAATCTTCCACTTCAAAATCTCATCAAAATATCTATATTTAAACACACAAATTACAAACTAATTATTAATTTAATGAAAAAAGGTGTTATATCATCGCCAAAAATAAATTAAAAAAAGGGTAATAAAACAAACAATTTTATTAATTTATACAGACCTTAAGACACCATCTTGACACTCTAAGTTGGAGATTTTTGTGCATTTTTTTCAAAACCAACGACATGCTTTTATTGTAATTCGATTTCATGATCATCGAAAAGAGAAGAAGGTGGAGGAGGAGAGGAGGAGCAGCAGCAGAACATCCATATGCATACATTTTGCACTTTCCTTCTTGAGGTTCAATAACACGAGGCTTTGTTATTCAACATCGACAACAGCAGAGGCAACAGTTGCAGTTGTGGAGTCGTGTTTACCTGCCTGCCTGCCTGGTGGGCTGACTGGCTGCCAGTCGCTGCTGCTGCTGCTGTTGTGCATCACCGTTTTGGCAATGACCTTTACAATTTTTCGAAATTTTTGTTAACGTTTTCCACTTGACAATTAATTGCACTTAATGTCCATGTGAATGTTGTTGCAGTTGGGGTTTTTTTGTTGTTCTTCTCAATGTGATTAATACGTACGAACGTATTTGAGGGGAAACTTGTTTTTCGGAGAAGATTTCAGATGTTGTTGCTGGCTGTTGGCTGCTACGTTCATTCTTACTGTCGTGTGATGATTATTTCACATTGTTTATTACATACACACAAGCTGTGGTGACAGTTCTCAATTCGATTCGGCTTTTTTTTTTCCAATTTTGAATGAAAAATAAATTCGAAATATTTTCCAAAAATGACTGACTCTAATTAAAATTGAATTATTTATGGATGTCGACATTGTGATTCAATGCGATGAGGAAGTGATTAAACTTCTACACAAGTGGTAATTCACAAACGATGTTGTGAGTGAGCGAGTGTGCGCATTGTTTGAAGTTAGAATATTTGATTAAATGTGTATAAGAGATTAAGCTTGTGAGTTAATGACGATTGGATGGATCATCGAAGCCTATTCTGAAAGAATGAAACTAGAATCTTGACCTAGTCCATACTCCAACAAAGTTTATTTGCGCATTTACCCTTAACTTTTCAACCAGTAAAAAAGCAGTTAAGTTAAGCTGGGCTGAACTTTTGATACCCCCTTCATTTTAAATGACAATTTTTAAACATATAATCCAAATACTACATTAAAGTCAAACTTTTACCTTTTTTTTAAATTTTATTGAATGAAAGCAAAACAATTTGGAAATAGCTTCAAATTTTAGAATAAGTTTCGATTTGTTCGAATTGGTCAACTTTGGCACGAATTATGACCTTCCAACGGCCAATGAAACCGTCACACGCTGCCCGAATGTTTCTCTGCGGTATTTTGGCCCATTCCCGGCGAAGCACTTGCTTGAGTTGATCGACACTTTGGTATTTTTATACCCTCCACCTTGGAAAAGAGGGTATATTAACTTTGTCATTCCGTTTGTAACATCCTTAAATATTCGTCGTAGACCCCATAATGTATATATATTCATAATCAGCATAAAATTCTAAGACGATTTAACGATGTCCGTCTGTTGAAATCACGATACAGCCCACATTATTTGACGTAGAGCCCCAAAATTTAGCAGAGCAATTTTTATTGGTTGGTATTGAAAATGAGATATATCGGTCCACGTTTTGGTATAGTCCACATATTACGGTACCTCCCGATATTCGGTATTTTCATGATTTATGCCACATTTTTTTACGGATTTGTCTTAAAATTGGTATATTGTAGGTCATAACGGATCCCAGTTCGTGTGGCGAGACATTGCATATATAGGTCATTTATATGATATAGCCCCCATATAAAGGTACCTCCCGATATTCGGTATTTTGATGATTTTTGACACATTTTTTCACGAATTTTTCTGAAAATTGGTAGTTGTAGGTAATAATGGGTCCCAGTTCGTGTGGCGAATCATTGTAATTATGGGTTCAGTATTCAGTATTTTGATGATTTTTGCCACATTTTTTCACAGATTTGTCTGAAAATTGGTATTTGTAGGTCATAATGGGTTCTAGCTCCTTTGGCGAAACATTGCATGTTCAAGCCCACGATTTGGTATAGCCCCTATATAAAGGTACCTCCCGATTTCGGGACTTTGATGATTTTTGGCACTTTTTCCCATGAATATTTCTAAAAATTGTTATATGTGGGTCATAATGGGCTCTGATGTTTCCTTTACCCTAAGGTAAAGTTTGGCCCGTCCGAACTTAATGTTTTTTACTTGTTTAGTGTCAAAATTGCTTTTCAAAATACTCCAGACACAATAGTCCAACGGATTGGTATCCGGAGATTTTCGTGGCCATTGTGCCCTGGAAGTTAAGGGAGGAAACTCATTTTGTAACCGTTCTTACGTGGCGCATGCTAAGTGCGATGGTGTCCAAGGCTTAAATACACCCTCCAGAATATTTTCGCGATAATATTCGGCATTTAGTCTGATGCCACGGTCGATTAATACGAGCGAAGAGCGACCATCGGCTGTTATGGCGGCGCACACCATTACCATGGCCGGCGCTTGGCATTTTCAACTGACCTCTTTGGCAAGTAAACACGATCATTCTGTTTGTTCACAAACTGCTGGACAAAGAATGTTTTCTCATCGGAGAAAATTAAATTCGGCACTTCACCACTTTCGGTCAAGCGAAGCATCTCTTTGGCTCTTTTGAGTCTATTTTTCTTTTCATTCCGGTGTAAGCTTTTGCACTTTTTGGAATTTCAATGACTTTACTCCGAGTTCATTTTTCAATATTTGCCGAATGGAATACTGCGATATGTTCAGATCACGAGCAATTTCCGGCCACTGCGACGCGTGTTTCGATCAAGACGCTTCTTTACTTTTCGAACCATTTCTGCTGATGTTTTCTGTTTTCTTCCTTCAAGGAAGTGACGTCGGGCTACGCTACCAGTATCACGGTAACGAGCGATGGTAAGAGACACAAAAGATTTATTCACATTTAAATGCTGGAGTGCTCTAACGATAGCCACTTCTGTTTCTCCAGCCAAATATAAAGAAATCACACTATCGTGCTTGAATTTCATCACGAATAACTTTTTTTTTGGAAGAGTCTCACCAAAATGCTTTTGTACGGTTGTAAGCAATATAATGAGCTGTCACTGGAATAATTTTAAGAGCTGTCGGACGAGTGCCTTAGAAATGACATCAGTCTGAAGTTGGTGCCAGATTTTTCATCTCACCCTGCATAGAGAATAATCGGGATTTTTTGCTTTATTGATACAATATTTTTGGCTTTTTGTATTCTCTTTTGTTTGTGTATGTATAAGTAAACAAACAACAGCTTAGCGGCATATATATCCACCTAAGGGCGTGTCTACTCGATCTAGCCGATGGATGGAACATCAATAGTATAAACACCCTATAAAAAGGATAATTTCAACTGATCTAGTTGCATGGCTCTTTTCAGTGAATCATTCAATTGAACTGGGTGGTTGGTAATCTATACAACACCACTATCTTTGATCACTGCCATTGCCCAATTATAAGGTCGACAAGTAAGACCAGCTGATACCTACATTTTCTGTCAACATAATTCGAACTCGCTTAGTAATACTTGTTTTCTTTGTCAAAAAGCTCGAAAAAAAAACAAAAATAAAAATAAGAAAAAAAGGGTTTTTTGTATCAGCTCCATGCTGCTGAAAATGTGGAGACCGCATTATGTAATCTAAATGTTTACACAAAAATACACAAATGCTATAGACACCGCTAAGCTCTCGCCAAGAATCCCTCAACTGAAGCTAAAGAAATCCTTAAGACGTGGCTAGAAAAGAATCATCCTTGGATGGGATTAAGTCATATACGTAAGGAGATCATTGAGAATATGCGTGTAGTTGTGATATATTTCGTGAAAGATCCGCTATTTCGGTTTATTGGAGGAGAAAATATGCGTCCAGCTGTGATACAATTCGTGAAATCTACTAATTCTATTATTTTCTGTGGCGTTATATAAATAAATTCTCTAATAGCCTCTGTAGGTATGCGAACGGCAGTGGCGGATACTTTCTCTCCCATGTACATTGGAAACTGTACATTGTCGCTGTGTAGTAGATCAGGTAGATAGTCCCAGCCTTCAGTTCAAATACCTTTATTAAGTCCACACCCAGCCTTTCGATATAGATGCCATGTAAATTTATAAGCTTCCATCGCCTATATGTGTTGCATATTTCGTCCAGAGCGCGATAGAAATGGTCAAATATACGATAGCAAAATCTTTTGTCTCTCTTACCCTCTTTTCTCGCCCTTATCTTTAGGGCAAACAAAAACTCCCGAAAAAAAAAACAAACAAAAATATATTACTTTTTGATTCCAATAAAGTCATGAAGACTTTAAAAGAAATAATAAGTCCAGGGAATACATTAACATTCACTAGATTATTTATTTTCATTTAATTAAATACAATATTTAAATATATAATTTATATTTTGTGTCACAATTGATGTCAGACATTTCTGTAATATTTTTGTGTCGAGGAGAAAACTTTTCATTTTCGCTCTAAGACCAAATTTTGACAATAAACGTAGGTGGCAGAGTTGTATTTTGTGCGAATTTGTCTTCTGGTAGACCTTTTAATTGGACCATGATCACTGCCACAAATCTTAGTCGATTTTTACTACGATTTTATAGCATTCGCCCATAACTATTACCTAGTTTACTTTAATTCTACTTCTTCTTAATAACACCTTATAATTATACACACAAACACCCAATTATGTTAGCCAATAACAACAAAAATAAAATGCTAAATCGTGACCCATCGTCGGACAATTGACGACAAGGTGGCTGAGCCACTAATCGAATAAAAACAACGATACTCATGCACTATCTACCGCAATTACCATAAATGCTTACATCATACGCACATTCTCTCCAAAAACAAACAACAACAACAAAAACAAAAGAGGTTGAAACAAGTAATGGCTAAATGCATAAAAGTTGTCTAAAAAAATATGAGTGCACAAGTGTAGATTCCAAAACAAATTAAGGTTCATAAAGACAGACGGGCACACAAACACACACGAACTCAGACTCTCAAGCGCTAAGCCATTTATGGCTAGACTTAGCCGAACATAGGCTTAAGGGAACCATAGACCGGCAACAATTATCAAACAGAGTTGTCTGGTATAAAAAAAACTCCAACCAATTTGAATGCGTTTTTTGCTTTGCTTTTTGGCAAAGTTTTGTGTTTCACATAAAATGCTAAAGCGTTTTAACTTCAATACATATGCATATATACTCTGCAAGACCTGTAATTGCGTAGAGTTGCTGCTCACCGTTTTTTGATCATAAGCAAACAAGATATCGACAAGCATTCACACCACCATATTTTGTTTCAAATCTATCCAAAAACCTGTTGTTTGGTGTCCCGTGTCAATCGAATTCGCGCACAAAAAAATCGTGGTAATTTGAATATTGAATCATTAGACGCAATGCTATTAAAAGTTGTTCACAAACAGTGGAACATGGGAAGCAGCTAAATACTCAGCAAACGACATTGAAGTTCAATGAGAGTGGTAAACAAATCGAAGGAGAGAAGAGCTCCATCAATAACACTCAACACCCGCATACACTTGACGTATGAGTGTTGACAACACTTATACGTAGTTCGAAATGATTAGTGGGGCTGAAATCAAGGAAAGCCAAGGCAATATTTTCACCATAGAGTGGGTATGTTAATGTTGTAGTTTTTTATACCCTCCACCCATGGTACAAAAAGGAGGTAGAATAGCTTCGTAAAAGTACAGAAACACACCCCTGAG